CTGAGTATGTAGATAATTTTATTTTATTTTTGCATTGAAATGATTTGCATGTAAAACGTGATATTATATCGAGAAGCACCTATTTCCATAAAGGCTAATGGTACAATTGACATTTCTCCGGTTTCGATCGTTGCAGGTTACGGACTCATTGTGCCACGGAACCCTACATAATAGCAGCGAACCGGCAATTGAGCGTGATGCACCCAATCTACAAGTTGTTGCACCCGCACTTCCGGTACACGATGGAGATCAATGCTCTGGCTCGTGGGTATCTCGTCAACGGCGACGGCATTATCGAGAGCACCTTCTCTCCTGGCAAGTACTCCATGGAGCTTTGCGCGGTCGCCTATGACAAGCTGTGGCAGTTCGACTTACAAGGCTTGCCCAATGACTTGATTAGCAGGTATTGTCCATCAGTTGCATACCTCTTTTTTCCCTTTCTTATGGTAACTGAACCTTTAAGCGTGCCATCGCTTTTCTAATCGTGTCAATACTTGCCAGGGGATTGGCAGTGGAGGACCCGACGGCACCACACGGCCTCAAGCTAGCGATCGAGGACTACCCCTTCGCTAACGACGGCCTCCTCTTGTGGGATACCATCAAGGAATGGGTCACCGACTACGTCAACCACTACTACCCCGACCCGAGCCGCACTGCGTCGGACCAGGAGCTCCAATCCTGGTGGACCGAGATCCGGACCGTTGGCCACGGTGACAAGAGAGACTCCCCCGGGTGGCCCGACCTCAAGACTCCGCCCGACCTCATCCACATTATCACCACCATAGTCTGGGTCACCTCCGGCCATCACGCTGCCGTCAACTTCGGCCAGTACACCTACGGCGGCTACTTCCCGAATCGGCCCACCATCGCCCGAACCAAGATGCCCGTCGAGGACCCGACGGAAAAAGAGCTCAAGATCTTCTGGAACAAGCCCGAGGTCACGCTCCTCACGTGCTTCCCGTCCCAGATACAGGCAACGAAGGTAATGGCGGTCCTTGACGTGTTGTCGAACCACTCGCCGGATGAGGAGTACCTGGGACAAGATCCGGAACCGGCATGGAAGGAGGAGCCGGTGATAAACGCGGCGTTCGAGAGGTTCAATGGGAGGCTGAAGGAGCTTGCGGGCATCATCGACGCGAGAAACAACGACCAAAGGTTTAAGAATCGGAACGGAACCGGGATCGTGCCGTATGAGCTCTTGAAGCCGTTCTCCGAGCCCGGCGTGACAGGGAAGGGAGTTCCATACAGCATTTCCATTTGAGACAACGACATTTCGTGGTGATGGCAATGGCGTTTGCTGATAAAAACACCTTTCTTTCTATTTTGTAGAATAAGAGGAGTGTCGTATATGCCGATGATAATGTGATCATCCTAATTTGTGGACAACATTAATTCAATTTCATGATCTAATTTGTCATTTGTGACCAATATCTAAGTAGTTATGATTAAAAGATTAATTTCAGTTCTAGTCCTCTATGAATTGCAAAAAAAGAAAATTTTAATAAGTGCCAATGCGCATAAAACCTAATGTTCACTACATGTATCTTTACTATAAATACCATCTTCCACTAATGTTGCATACTAATGTAGAATCTACAAACTTGGGTAAATGGCCAGTTCGATAGATGTTAGAATACACGTGTGAGTTATGTTAAAAAAAAGTTTTCACATCGAAAAATTGGTATGGTGTAAAGCAGTTAATATACCATTGACTTAAACATTTAAGTAAAAGTGCGTCCAATCTTCTCGGACGAAAATTATCGGGCTTTTATTGTGCTCTCTTAACAAATAGATTTGTTGAACATGCTACTTACCCACAAGTGAGAGACAAGGGCATGCACTTCCCGCAATCAAATCGATGAGTGTAAAGAAAATAGATTAGATGAAGTTATTATTGCAAGCATCCCGAGCACGTAAGTCCAGCTCACATGTGCTCTTATATCAGGTCAGCCACACGCGGGGCTCATATACTCCAGCTTTATCTAATATGTATTTTTCGGCTAGATGGGCTAGAAAAGAACGAACTTTATATTGGTCCCAAAAAGCCCAAATCAATTAGAGGTTACCTCGTTCTTTTAAGAATGCCTCATCCTTATTTTGATCATAAAGTTGTTAGATGTAATTTGGCGAAAGACTGAAGATTCCGATTACTGATGGATAAACAAAAATCATGCCTAATCAAAATCAATTTCGAAAATGTGAAAAATTATGTACTAACCTCCAGCCATCGATGAAGTCGATAACCAAATATGCAAAGAATTGAAAATGTTGAATAGGTACTTGTAGTCAATTATCCTCTCAACGTTGATGGTGTATTTTAAAATTATCAGATAATCAGATTATATAATGAGAGGATTTGGCTTATATGACCTATTTATTTCCCCGTTCATACCGTTATAAATAAATTTTTTCATCAACATAGTTATCTTAATATTGGGCAATCACCATAATTATCACGCACCTTAATGTGCTTAATAAAATATCGACGAAATTAATTAATGTGGAAAATAATAAAATAAATGTAGGATCATATTATTGATGTTATAAAAAGAGTACCATAGTCTGCTCCTTTCAGGAGATTTAATGAAAGAGCAAACTTGATCTGAACCTAATAGGAACTTCATAAATTCAACCCGAGGGTTACTTGTTTTGAAGTCTGAGCTCCGTTGTCCGAATTCAGAAGATCGAGTATGACCAAACTGAAACTAGATCTTCTATCGAGCTATGACTTATTTATCACGTACCAATTGTACGTGACAGGTAAAATATCAACTCCTAATTCATTGCTTGTAATTGTACGTAAAGTTTGTTATGCGACATGTAGGTCAGAGGCGGTCAACCAGAGTTTGACAACTGTGAATAGAAAGGTGATGACTAAAATCAAGGGAAAATTACCGATCATAATCCTATTACACTTGTGCCAATTCAATCCTAAAATTTTCAATTTGATCAATTTGGTCATAAACCATTTGACAATTTGCCAATTTATTTATAAACCTTTCGACAATTTGCCAACTTAATCATTCTAGGTAATTTTGACTGGAAACTACTAACGTGATGGTTTAGTCATCGCTGGTTATCCAATGTGGCACGGCCACCGCTAATATGGATAATTTTTACAATTTTTTCGCCAGCCTAGGTGAGGGCGACCCTTGCTATCACCGATGCCAGGCAATGGCTGGTGGAGGAAAAAAAAGGAAAAAAGGAAAAAAGAAAAGTTCAGAAAATTAAAAAAGTTATACAAAATGTCCACGTCAGTGTCAGTTGTGCCTTTTAGGACTGCCGACACTGACTAGACCGTTATGTTAACGATTTTCTATCAAAGTTAGCCGGAATAACTATATTAGCAAATTTTGAAAATGTTTAGGATTAAATTGGCAGATCGTGGAAAGGTAAATTAGCAAATCATCAAAAGTTAGGACTAAATTAGTCAAATTGAAAGATTTATGACTGAATTGGCACAAGTATAATAGATTTAATAATTTTGGTAATTTCTCCCTCAAATCAAAAAGTCATCCATAACCAACCCTCACATTTTTCACATCTAGCATTCTCAGGCCTAAACATTTCTTCTCTCTTCTTTCTCCAACCCCTACTTGAGTATCGGAAGGTCCTACTGAGTAAAATCCTAGGAGACTTCCTTGTTTCTGGTGCGCAAAGATCCGATCCAAAGGGAGATCAATCTAGTTTGAAGCCAACATATGAATCGACAAAATCTCACAGATAATGGACGGATACGAAAATCCTCTTTCTTTGGCTGGACTTTTTACAAACAACTTGTATAATGTAAATCTATAACTCTTTTTTTTTATTTTTTTCATATGAAGTGAGAATATATCATTCCTAACTCAATGCTTAAGTACGTCCTGTTAAGTCAACATAATATACTCACAGCCAAACCGATGAAAGAGAATAAGAACTATGTAAATCTCATTTAATCAACTTGAAGAGAGGGGAGTTTTGCGGATTATAAATGGAAGATCAATCGACGGAAGAGAAACTGAGGATTTTGTTAGGGTTTATCGAGAAATCTTTTGAACCGAGTGGCGGAGAGCTTTGGGTGTCTTTTGAGCCCACTCTTGTAATCCACGTAGTTGATGCCGAACCGGACGGTGTACCCGCTGCCCCACTCGAAATTGTCTAACAGCGACCATGCAAAATGCCCTTTAGCGTTCACACCTTCCCTATACTATACCAAAGAACCAAGAAATCGTGTCAAGAAAATTGGAGAATTCGTGAGAATTCTGTCGTCCTATGCCCAAAAGTATAGATTTTTGTTTCCGTGCTGGGTAAATTTCAATTAGTGTCGTTAAGTGTCAATAAGTTGTTGGTGAAAAAATTACTTGCGACCCTATTCCGGGTAACTTGTTGGCAATTTACCAATGTCTTTATGAAAATTGCCAAACTTTCTATAATTAGCAAGTTAGTAGCCTTTATACCAACTAATACAAATATAAATACATAAACACGCGATCGGTTTTGATTTTTTGGTTTTGAAACAATAATTGGCACCTTTTGTAATTTCTCTTTTAGGGTAGAAAAATTATTCTTTTGTCTTATGTAAATCTATGTATATTTCTTATTAAAACCCGACTATTAATTCATCTAAAAGGAATGGTTCACCTAAGACTGCTTTTGCATAGAAACCGAAGAGCGCACATTCTCCACCTCTCATCTTCCATTTTCATCCGACCCAAAAAAAAGACTTCCATTTTCAAAAGAGCAAAGAGAAAAATCAACAGACAATTTCCAGACCAAGGGAAAGACTCTCACCAACTCGTTTCACTTTCTCCTCTTCCTCTAGAACGAGAGAGACAGAGAGAGGGAAATAAAAGAACTCTAGACAATCGGTTCACGACAATATCAAGGTTTAAACTCATTTGCGATACCAAAAATTTCCATAATATGTACGATTTGTTCTATTCACCACATCATTCATAGATAAAATAACTGACGAGACGAGGGCATCGAATGTTAAGAGAGAGAGATATGCCTGGGTATTTGTGAGAGTATAAGTGTCCCATATGCTTGGCCCTCTGCCCCCTTCATTTGCTGCACCTTCATACTGAACAAGAACCAAAGGCCAAGCAAGGGCCTCAAAAAATCACAGCCAAAACCGGAATTTTCACCTCTCCCTTGTGAAGAGAGAAGCAATTCGGGATGTATGTTTGAATCGGATGTAAAAGAGCTGACCTGATAAGAGGCTGAGGCAGTGCCAAAGAGGAAACCAGCTGGGAAGCTGCTTCTGTTGAGCAAAGCAGTGTCGTATATAGGTGTTGTCGTTGCTCCACTCTCCCTCACTGAGCCCAACACCACCTCCATGAAACTTGTCAGGCGCATATAGACCTGAAGACCCATTATGAGGTTTTTGGATGGTTTTTTCTTTTAAAAAAAAGCTTGCTTTGAGTCCGTCTCTCTCTCTCTCTCTCTCTCTCTCTCTCTCTCTCTCTCTCTCTCTCTCTCTCTATATATATATATATATATATATATATATATGTCACACAGAGAGAGACAGACAGAGGGAGAGCTGAGGTCTAAGAGGACACACCAACCCTTTTCACACGTCCTCATTATTGACCCAGTCTACTGTTAACTGTTTCAGTTCGCACCAGAAGTTATCTCCAGTTCGCACCTGAATCAGAATACAATCAGAATAACTAAACGATAATCAATCAAGATCTGGCAGTGGACCGGGTAAACACTCACATAGATATAGAACTATCGATATTCTCGAAATTGAGTCTCAAGAATAAAAGTCCTCAATCAATATCATGTAAAAGGAATTCGTGTATTTGAAAAAAAAATTCCTCGTTTATTATCATCAAAATTATGCTTAATTTTGTGAAAATCGAAAGTCCTCCTTAGGGGAAAAATCTGCTGCCTGCAACCAGCTTAAGCCTTGATTAAACATTTTTCGTAATGTTTCGGGAATTAATCAGCCAAAATCTGAAATACTAAAGATCCAACCAAACGAACATAAAAACTCTTAGAATTTATACCACATCTATCCGAAATTAATTATGTCACGTCAACCAAGTCATACATGCTCCATTGTATAATTTCATCTACAATCGGTTCGACGCTTTGATCTGGTTTTCACTTAATAAATTACATCTAGGGGTGATCAGTTCCCAGTCTGGTTGGGTCCTACCCAAGAATCGAGAACTAGACTAGAAGGACTGGTTTCCAGTTTCTGAGAGACACCAGTCCGGTCTGCTCTAATGTAATCGGTCACTTGACAATGAGCATCAGCTTGCAGAGTCGATCAAAGCTTCTAATCTCTGCAAATCTTCATTCACAAACCCCGTCATTGCTCCTGGACAGGAAAGAAGGCAATGCGAAGATTAAGAGAGGCACAGAAGGACGGAATCAAAACGATGCAAACCAAAAGCCAAAACATCGATCTACATCTCAGAAACAAAAATGAAGTATTCACATCTCTGAAATAAGCGATCGAATTCTAAGAAAAAGCAGAGACAATGAAAAGTCAAGTGAGAAAAACTTACAGATTACATGAAAGAGCCGTATGAGACTAAGAGTTGAGGGAGAGCCGAGAGGGATGTGTGAGAGTCGAGCCATAGCCAAGTTGCAGAAAGAGCAAAGAGCGAAAGAGCGAGGCATGAGATTCAAAAGGGAACGAGTGAAGAGCGTCAACATCGAGCTAGGCGTGAGGCAAGAGGGAAAGGCAAGATTAAATTAGGGTTTTTAAGAAATTAAAAAAATTAAGATATATATAATCAGTCCGGTTCCCACCTCGGTCGGTACGGTTTTCACCCTGGAATCGGGAACTAGACCGACGAGACATCCGTTCCACAAAAAGGAATCGGGAATTGGACGAGAATCCCCTAGAACCACCCGTTTCGGTCCAATGCGAGTGACTTGTCAATGTAGTCGGTCTATCTTGCTCACTTCTAATTACATCAACTATCCTTCGGCTGCTATTGGTACCTTCCTTTTCAATTCCCGCGTATGATGTGCCCAAGTTATAGTTTTCAATTATTTTGGCAATATTCATTTTCAAACCAGAAATTATCGACCTTAATTCTGACAAAGCTACACTTGGAAGCACAATATTCACCGGAAGAAAAGATTCTCAAAAATATGAAGTCGGCAGTGGATTAATTTGGATGAAAAAGAGCCAAAAATATAGGGATATTATCATATATATAAGGACCAGAGCGAGTCACGAACGGTGAAGTTTACTTATATTCATGGCATATGCCTTGGTCCTTACAACTTGCCCTCCTCTAGACGGCTATGAAGTCTAATGCATCAACTCGGCCAAGAGACATGGATGCGTTTTCGGGCAGAAAGATTAGGGAAAACAAAGCGAGGATGATGGGTTCAGTCGGGTCGGATTTCCTCGGAACTCGAACGCGGCTAGCAATTTGAGCCGTACGTAATCCCCAACTTGAGGGCACCGACCCGTTAAAAATATGAAAAGGAATGCGTTGCTTTTGGTATGTTATGAAACAAAATCAGTGATGTCGTTGCTTTTTTTTCTGCAGTTGAATGAGTTAAGTGTTTAGCACAGGGAAGGAAACAACTCTACCTCAACCGGAAAAACATTGGTACCTACGCCTCAAAAACTATTGTGTGCTTAGAGTTTGTTTTGACGTGGTCCATGTGAAAAAATGATGTTCAATTTTACTACCAAGAAATCCAATCCAAAGACTAAACTTTTTTGTTTTTCAATTTTCACTATCGTGCTATGCGATATATCTTGAGCCGGCTTAGATATCCAATAAGTCAACGTTTCTAACTTAGTTAAACCAGCCATATTAACCACTGGAGTTTACCGTAGTGGCTACCCTTCCTACTTAAGAAGGGAAAGGTGGGAAGTTCAATTTCCCACCTTCTCAAGGAGTTTAGAGGTAAGGACATTTAGTTTCAGATGTGGATTTCGACTTGCATGCTCTGCAAAGAGATAGGACAAAAATCTGAAAGTGAATTTAGAGATGAAGTAAAATGGACAAAAACAAAAAAAAAACAAAAAAACCAGCCATATCATCTATATCGAAAGTACAGGAGTCGAGACCATTTAATCTCTCTCAATATTGAACCAAAAAATCATATCGAGCAAGAATTGAACCTGACCTTTATCTTTTGAGATTGAAAGTTTCAATTGCCTTAACGGCTCGACTAATTTCTTGCAACAACAGTGCAACCTAATTGTACACTCTTACCTACCTCCATGCTATGTTGTTTGGATGAATAGTATTTGAGTGTACATACATAATTGCGACGATTAAAGAATAGATGGGAAAGGGAGATTTGTAGCAAGGCATTGAGCAAACCGAATTTGCAATTACTCCTATTTCTAGATTCAAGTAAAACCTTTCTTTTTCTTAGACTTCTTTACCTTCCTGACTCAAGTCAACCTTTTTCACTTGCTTGTTGACTTTTTTCTATTCTTACTTTGTTTCTTTGGTCTCAAGGACATTGTAGAATTTGAAAGACCCAGATTCTTCTTTGACAGAAACGCCTCTGGTTCACTCTTCAATGCGTGGTCTCTTACGACAAAAATATTCAAGTTGAACAGAATTAGCATGATTTCAGTTACTATGCGTCTTCCAATTCAAGGAAAACCCTTTGCATAGCAAAATGTATAAACACACTATATTACAAGATGCATACTAAAAACCGCAAGGAGAACAGGCATTTGGCAAATGGATCTTATCAAAGGTTGGCGACATACCTAAACATATTTCACATACTATGTCAGTAGACCAACTTTACTGTGCTTATCCGGTTAAAAAAGAGCTTATCGCACGTAAAAAATAACGAAATCCACACGGGACCTCATCTCAGAGTACACCGGACCTTGCACGTGTTGTGGTATAATGAACAGTTTTATCCGTTCAATTTCAACGTTAAATAATTTTCAGAAGATATCAGAAGATAAAAAGTACATCTTGAGGAACTTGAGAGCTTCAATAAGATTAAGTCAGTCACACGGAGCCTGAATGAGATCATAGACAACCGAAACAACATGAACAAGCCAATTCAATTGACTTCCCATTGCTGGTGCTGAAGAAGAAGTTCTAGAGATGCTTGAATTCCAAATTAGAAAGTTTTTCCTTAACATTTACGAGGTATACTCGGCCCATCAAACCCCCACACTTCGTCGGTTTCAGCACAAATGGATTGGCTCAAAAGAATAGATGTAAATAACAGTAGTTGGAATCTTCAGCAGAGAAAATGAGCATATGATGGCATATGATGGCAATAAAAGACCAAAATGCTATGCATTAAGATGAGAAGGTCCTAATGAATCTTACTTTGCTTGCACCTTAAGAAGAATATTACACTCCTACAACAGTTAAAAGGACTGCCTTGGGTGCAATTCAACAACAGAGAAACAGATATTAAAATTGGCGGATTCATCAGCTGAAATGTCAGCCTGAACTTTCCAATCTGAGAAGCAGTAGACTAGCATACAGAACTCTGACTACTTTGCATAGACAGAGAGCAACTTATTTAGCTCATAAAAAATGCGAAGTTTTGAGTGACAGATTTTGTATGTAATGGAACAATGAGTTCCTGCATGCAATATATCAAGCAAATCAACGTACGCTAACCACTGATTGTGAACTTCAGTGACAGATCATAAAAATGTCATGTACAACAAGTACAATGAGAGAGGGAATGGAAGTAAATCAGTTGCAGTCAGAACAACCATCACAAATTAGTGTAGTCAGGAGTGGAAGGATTAAGGTAGATAAAACCTGGAACTCTCCCAGAGATCGTCTGACATAATAGACAAGCACAAGAGAGATCGGGCATCAAAAACTACAATATCCATAATGGAGAAATCTCTCTGTTACGCGGTCACATGTTCTCCGGAAGTTCACTAACATTAGGACCGGGAAGACTAAGCAAATAAGAAACATGTGTTTATCCAACTAGATGTGGAGCAAGAGCATCTCACCTTTCTAGAATTTGGATACATTGGATAGGATATGGATAAGAAAATTTTGATGCATCCAATATTATTATGTTATATAAGAAGTGCTTGAGCAGTAACAAGTTAAACTACATAAACCAACAGAACTAAACATAGAATATGTCGACGCACCACGGTCAAAGCAAAAGCTATAACAAATGAGCAATTATCCCGACAAAAAGCACTAGACAAGGGCAAAGGTTCAAAGATAAAAAGGCAAATCTCCCAAGACTTACTTCCAGTACCATAAGATAATCACAGATGCAGTATTTGAAAACCTTCATGAGACTTCTCAATTAAGCAAAAAGAAGAATGTCAGAACCATATGTCAAGGACCCATAAGTCTGATTATGATTGTCCTATTCCAACTAAAGCCCACCACACTGCCCTAGTACAAAGAAGAAAATTAGCATAATATGATCATAGAAAGGTTGGGAAAAATGTTAAATGGCATTAACAGAAATAGCATGTCCAGGATAAATAGTTCCAAAAGCACTTACCAAAATCAAATAGGATCAAAGATGCGGAATCACCAACAAGAGAAAAACAGAGGAAAAAAAGAGAGCATGAAATAAAGTTCATTTAAGGCCTCACTTCCCATTTCATTTTTTCACCGGGTGTTGGAAAGAGGAGGATGCATCAAACGCCATATGCAGGCTCATTTGCATTCGACACCTGCTTCAGCAGCCCGACGAGGCTTGCTTTTCCTTCTGCTGCCAATGTGCCGAAACCCATTTGACTTGGTTGAGTCTTCCGTGTTTGATCTGGCTCCGACGCCATTTTCCTCTTTCGTGATATCTGATTTCTCTTTTGACAGCGAAGTCCGTTTCCTCTTCTTCCCATTCTCTGTTGCAACAGGACTTGTTGTTTCCTTACTTACAATACCGTCTTTTCCATTCTCTCCATCTTCGCCATCTACTTTTTTAACAACTTCCTCATCAATTTCATCCTTGAAAAGCTTTTGTGGCCTTCCCCTTCTCTTCTGTGCTGGAATTTTCTCTTCCTCACCGCTTCCAAGATCTTCATGACTGCTAGAAGTTGATCTCTTTCCCTTTCCTCTGCCTCTACCCATAATTCAAAGACTCCAATCAAGGAATTTCATGGGGACACGGGATGTTTCTGCATGACAAAAAGCTTAACCGCATTAAAGTCAAATCAGGAATATGAGGATATTTCTTCTGAGGTCTTCGCCCACATTGCAGATTTGTATCATTGCTTTGGATGATCAAATTTGCCTTTCAAAAAACTACGACCACAAAAGGCATTCACTTCCTACCAGAGTTGATACTGAGTGTGGCAATAAGATCTTCATTTAGAGTTAGACAAGCAAGCATTGCACTGTTATTTCTCAAAAATCTTTAGTTACCTCCTAATATAGGATACAAATTTTATGGTGTGATCAGATGATTTGAGTGTGTATTTGACTTCTCAGCTCATTGATACCGCATCAAGCCTAATAAATCCTGAAACTATTAACAATCAAATAAAAGCACAGAGGAAAATTTGCAGAGGCAACAAACTCCCATACAAAATCACGCTAAAGTAGAATGTTCATTCTAGATCCATAAGATAGGCAGCCTCATCACTCAATCAAACATCCATGGAAATCGTCTTTGATTCAAGGAACTAGATACTAAAGAAAATTCTCAAATTCAATTAGCAAGTGCCCATAAACGAAAGATACAGCCGAGGGCAAAGCAAGAACTCGATAAACTGCGAAGCAAAGAACCAAAAAGAAAAGGAACTCTTTAAACAGCAGATAAAAGTCAAAATAAGACATGAAACTGAAGATCCACAATAGGGGAAATCCGCTCCGTAAAGCAAAGCCAACGCAACCGAAAAAGCAGTCAAAATCAAACAACTACAGCTACAAATGCACACCCATCATCCAAAAATCCACCAAACACAGAAACATATAAGAAGGCGAGACTCGTCTTCACACCGAATTCATACCATATATATGAACGGGGACGGAAACTAACCCGATACGAAACAAGACTCCCCAGCCTCTTCCGGACGAGACCCATCAGTCCAGAACGTCCAAACAAGCAAAGAAAGTGAAAAGGAAGAAGACCCAGATGGAGTTTTCTCGGCCCGGGTGGAATTAGCACAAGATGGGATGAGAACCAAATGGACAAATTACTATCGCCCAAGACTGAGATTTGAAGACGGTGTTGGTGGTGTTGCGAGAGATTCAAAGAGATGCAATACGATGGCGATGGAGAGAGAGAGAGAGAGAGAGATTGCTCTGAGTTGTGAGGGGGTTGAAGAGGAGAGAAGAGAACGGAGGAGAGAGATATTTTGTTGATTGGTTCTGCGTCTGCCCATTTTGCTGAGGTTCCTCTATTCTACTACACATCACACAGCAGTACACTGGCTGTGCGCAATTCCTTTTTTGCGCGTGAGAAGATAAATTAAAAAAAGGAAAAATGGAAAAGAAAGCCAAGAAGAGAAGACCGTATTCTTGTTTGCACTTTCCTAGGACATGAACATGTCGCACAAAGTCGGTCCAAAATCCTAAAGTTGAAAGCTTGAAGGTTGGGTAAACATAAGGGTGAAAAAAAAAGGGAAGAAAAGCAGCAAAAAAAAATATGTAATGGATCTCTTTGTAGGTTTTCGGGGACTTTGTCGGTCTAAAATATAGGACAGTTATATTGATTATGTCCATATTATTTTTCGTAATAATATTATATCCATCATTTAAATGTTTTTCTATATAATTCACGATGATTTGTAAATGTCGACTAAGGATTTGAGATGGTGTTGAAGGTGATATCCACGGAATGGTTCGTATTATTTAGATATTCACGACCAATAAGTATTGTATTCTCTTTCTAATAAGCCTTGAAAAGAGAAGGAACGTTAAAATGCTAACAGGCATCTAGCATTGAATATACCCGTTGCGATAGTACTCATTTTGAGAACGTCCAATGCCAAAGTCACCAAACGGGCAAGTCACCAATCCCTAAAACAAACTATAAAATGTACTTTATATGTTCAATTACTTTACGGGCGGGCATTTCACCCCAAAGACTAGACTATTCTATCATGATGATGCGTCGTATGTGAAAGTATTTTATCGCAATGACTACACAAGAACATCAAAGAAAACACAAATAGTCAAAAGGTTTTCAATGAATCGAACCCTTGATGAACAATTTCTCCGTAGAGGATTATATTACCTCCCCTCCTAATGTATTTTCAGTTTAAGTAATTTGCCCCCAAAAACTTCGGTGTCACAGTATCACTCTTACCTCATCTTAGTGATTATGAGACTAGTTTCTTTTCAGTTTTACAAAAGTTATTCACCAAATGCAAATCAACAAATTTGTAAAGGTACTTCCCACGGGGAAAACTAAGACCAGAACCAGACATGTTATTACCTTCAAACTAGGCTCAAGAACTATATTAGGGGCTTGGCATGTGACGTGAGGATATTTATTTCATTCCCCGGTTTTATGTCCTTCAAAAGTTTCCGTAAATATCCGTAAAACCGAAACTTTTTTTGCAACATAACCAGTTCTTAAACCACATTCAGCAAGCTAGTGTTAAGGCAGTTTGCTGAAAACTCATTTTCATTGCATATCAAAGGATGATAGAGAAGTGTCATTGATTCTCGAAGACCATTAAGATGGAGCAAGGCCATAGCAACGGCCGCATAATTACCCACAAACTTCAATCACGACCTGATCCATCATTCCAAACGCCCATGCTTCGGCGACAAAAATTGGCTGAATACATAGCTCCGACCAAGATCCTAAAATGTAATCCTAACACAACTCCAGCTTTTAAGTACGATTCTATATACATAAGAGGAAGCTCCCCTCCTTTACCTTCGAATGAGAATAGATATCACCAGGTCAGAGATACAGATCAAGGTGAAAGCTCACATAAAAGTTCTTGAGCAAACATAAGTGCGTGCTTCTCTCGTCTCGTCTTCATTACTACTTGTTAGAGGCCCGATCCTTGTCTTTCCTTTGTCCACCGAGAATACGCGAAATCTGCAAGCCTCTGCTGAAGGCTTGGTTGAAGAGCATACGGGTCTGGAATTCTGAGACAAATGGAAACCAAGCCAGGAATGCAACTGGAGTGAACAGAAGTAAGCCCATAATAATCTCATAACCACGGGCAAGAGTCCGAACTGATCCCCAAATTCCAGCCTTGACGACAAGAGGTTTGCAAGCTTGTGCAATCTGGAACAAGATAAGCACGTAAAGTCATTAATCACTATAGTCCATTCAGTAATTTGATGGAAGGAAACAACGGATCAAAAATTAAAAATAATAACAATAAAAGAAGCTTAAACATGTAACGAAAAGGAAATGCGATATCCGTAAGCAGTTTCGATAAAAAAAATTAAGACCAACCAGCAGGGTCACCACATCCATCTAAATAATGACAAGCATTCATACTTTCACCTCAGTAAGAACTAACCTAAAAGAAAAAAAAAATCGTCCAGCGTACACAGTCCAGAAGAATAAGGGCAAGAGAGTAGCTGTCACTAACCAAAAGCATTCCCCAACCCGTCGGCATGAAAGCAAGAATGCAAACAATTATGTCCCGAATTGTCATGTGCGGGAGTGCAATCAACGTAACCAAAATGGAGACAAAAGTCAAGAATATCAATCCCTTGATCAGCCGGAAGACAAGCTGGAATTCGGCACTGAATTTTCGTCGACCAACAGAAATAGTCTGCAAAATACAAACAAGAACGTTATACAGCAACCATTTGTTCACTTCAGTTTCCTAAGAAGAGAGTTATTTCTTCAAACAATCCAGAAGACTGCATCTCTAAGTGGCGCTAGAATATAAAGGGAATAAGTACAATTGCGTCTATGAGATTTTGGTGGAACCACTGCCAACTGTTCTAAAAGCTTAGGCTGTTAAATGAATGCGTGTTTTAATATTTAATTATTCGAACAACGTCAGAAATGAACAGCATCTGGGAGGACAATTGAAAATGGCCAACCAACAAAAACCAGATAAATTGCCGAGTTCAGGAAAGAAGCATGAAATTGTTCTTGATGGTGTGCATGTTAGTTGAAAGACAGACATGGAATTGGCCAATAAATTTTGAAACTTTTGGCCAATGATGATGAAGATGGTGATAAGTTGGACTTTAAGATAGAAGCATGTTATTTGATGGTCTCTTTGATGATCACAAATAGCTCAAGCTTTGTTTATAACTTGTTATACTAATGCATTGAGAAGAAATTTTGGATGGAACAAGACAGATCACGTATCCTCACCTTCATCACAAACAATATAAGGAAGATCACAAGCCATGATATGCCATAGACCTGCAATTGTGCCAAAGAATGAACAAATTAAACTGTGGATATATGTGAGCCAAAAGAAAATTTGGATATAAGAAGAAATAGGAACAAAGGAATTATATACCAGGACACTTTTATGATGCTTCGTGATGGTCAAGTGATACACAAGCCCATACTGATATATAAAAAATCGCAGTGCCAATATAATCTCAGCGATGATACCACGTTTTCCAGAATGGTGCAAATGCTCCTGTTCCTCTTCCCACCATGATTCCCAACTTTTTTCTGGAGGTACACCTATTCCACCTCGGTTGCCTATCCATTTATTCCAATCCGTCCAATCATCAACAATCTTTTGCCACTCGAAACCAGAAGGATTAAACAGGAATGGGGCAAAAAGCCAAGTCCCAACCATGAACCACATTGATATTGTGATCAAGATATAAGCAACAGCACCCCTATACGATTGACCAAAAATTTCGTACACGAGCAGCAAAATCATTAATTCAAATCCTTTAACAAAGTGACTGCGCGAGTACATTCTATAATTGTCTGCAAACTTCGCATGGAACACAACAAACCCGCGACCAGTAGCTCTGTATTTTGCACCTCCATGAAGTAAAGTTCTTCCATAATAATGTGTCTTTGTTCCAAGAGAGAATGTGAAAAAAACAGGGGCAAGTTGCAATTGCATCAGCACAAAATCACTAAGTGCAGTTCGAAATCCCCTTTCCAAGCCTATTTCCATCAACATAGGCAGTGCCATCAAAAATCCAATTTGTACAAATGATTGGGAGGCAAGAGCCACCTGGAGAGGCTTATTGTCCCTAATTCCCGGCTGAGAACTCAATTCCTTTTCAAGCCCACTCAGAACTAAATAAAGACGGCCATAAAGGAAGACATATACGGTAAGCACAGTAATCTGCCACAAAAATATAATAAGACAAAGTTCAAAATTGGGAGATGCATAAGAAGAAAAATACGGCAATAGGAGGAAAACGCCAACTTACCAGAGTACTGAAATAAAAGCCAATGGTGGTGAAGTAACATGACAACATTCTGAAGAAATCAAAACGATGTCCAAGTCGGTATATATCTCTACTCAAAGTCTGCTCCCCATTTCCATTGGCTATTTTAGCCTCGAACATGGATATCTGGTTTAGACCCACGTCCCTCCCTTTTCCCACTTGTATATACTCATGATGAGTTACATTGCCTTCACGAAGTGTAGAATTGAAGCCTGCAAGAGGAAATTCAAATATACTAATACACGTAAAGCTAAAGCCAATTAATTATCATAGGCAAATCCGAGGACCCACATACCAGCAAATATGTCTTCACTCAAATTGATAACTTTTGAAGCCTTACTGACACCACCTCTAGTAAGGTGAAACAGCCGATCGAAGACATCGGGATGACCATAATGGAAACGAACCCTTCATGACAAGCAACAAATGAGCAAACAAGATTCACTAGTTATTCATGATTATGCCATACAATACATAGAGTAATCATAAGGTTACTACAGTTGATGCATTTACGAAGTCATGTGACAGAGTCTAGATGGGGTATTAATCAAGTAAGATATATTCAAGGGCCATATGAACTTCTTTTGGTCCAAAACATCCAACAAGAGTTTGCTAACATCATTTTATAAAATCAATCTTCATTCCTCAGCATCCTTACAGATACTTAACAAAGTAAAGACAGCCTCATCAAACAGCCAATCATAAGGAAATTCGTTGCATTGTTTCTCTTCCACACATCTATATAACTCATTGAAGCTACTTATCTTTTGCACTAATCTCGACAAGAAGGGGCTAGAAGTCTTAACTCTTACACTTGCTAATTGAACGCACGCCATTTGATGATGTTTTCAGTTTACTTAAATAGAAACAAATTTCACCTTATGACCCATCTTCCATTGACTCGAGTGGGAACCCAATTCTGTTTGCAACACAAGTTTGAATCAAATAATTAAAAGTTGCATGACTTTGGCATCTTCGGGTTCATGTACATCCATATATTATTAATGCACTGCAGTTCTCATCTTTGCCATCCACCACCATCCCCAAGAGAACTAAGAATTACCAACCCCCCCTCCCCCCTCGGTCCCCTCTTTTCCTTGTACGGCCTTGGCCTTTTAAACTCTATAAGACTCATCATGTATGATGGAACATCTCTTCCACTACAACAGTAATAACAGACTCCAAATCCATCAGGCACACTGTAAATTCAAATCTTTAAAAAGTTACAAATAGAAATAACTTACTTCAAGGGGTTGGCCAACAGTCTTTGGCCAATAGTCACAAAACTAGTCTCCTGATTTGACATGAACCAAGCAAGAGACGAAACACTGCAGCAAATTGTAAACAGCATTAAGCATTGCATGATGGTACATATTATCAAGAACACCCAAGTAAGACATTGCAATTCCAGCAAAGCACACCTTCCAGTGAAAATGTGCTCCCGAAGTCCAAGAATTGTCGGACACCTCACACCATCATGCTTTTTGAGAAATTCTTGCAGCAAATTCCTCATTTTTAGTGCTTCTTCCATGTAGTTATCCTAAGAAAAAAGGAGGATATGAAGTGAACACAAGGAATGGGGAATAGTTTTCTTAGTTTTTTTTTTTTTTGATAAATAAAATGCATGATACCTGGTTCATATCGATTGTTTGCAAGCCTTCTCCACGAGTAAATATAATGGCATGATTCTGATTTTCAGGTTTTCCTTCACCCAAAATAGCAGGTCCTGGAAGCTTTATCCTATATATAACCTGCCCCACACGCAAGTGTCAAGTATTTTTTATTTTTTAGCCAACAATTGAAGCAGCATAAAAATCTAGTACAGCACGAAATGGCAACTTATGGTCAGTCATCCAGAAGCAACACCAAACTATTGATATTTCTAGAAGCAAGCGTAGGACATCTACAATGGGAAGAATCTAACTACACTAAAGCACTCTCCCCATAGCAGGAGTCCTTACTTTTCTTTCTCTTGCCCTGACATAATTCGGGGCTCTCTCTCTCTCTCTCGCACGCACACACACACACTATGTGAAAATCATCTCTCAAAACTTTACTTAGACACACACACACACACACACACACACAAACACATGGGTACCAGAGGAGTCCAACCCACAGACATGGGTATTAATCCCCGGGTTAGAATCCTCCTCCTTACCATTTTATCACTAGCTGACTACATTTCATTTTCTTTTCATTTTTTTGCCGTCTCTATTTCATTTTCTTTCCTTTGTTCATTTTAGAATCGTTCAGATGCAAGAATTATACTTCTTTTTTTGGTCGGATGCAAGAATTATACTTTATTTGTATAGTATATGTACTTTTTATTTGTTTCTGTCATTTATTAAATTCGAATTTTTTTTTCATTGTCCTCCCGGTTTTTCCATAAGGCTCTCTGCTTGGATACAACAAGCACTTTCATCTCTCTATTAGGACAAAATAGAAGATCAATTCAAGTTGCGACACTATCTATGTGAAAATCATCTCTCAAAACTTTACTTAGATAGTCTAATATATCAATAGCTTAGTTTAACTTCGTCCTTTTTATTGCGTTAAATGTAAAGTTTCAGCTATTTGAACTTCTGTGAGACACTAATCAATCTCTAACAGGCGTAGCAAATGCTACTTGGAAAGCATTGCAGATTATAAGTATCTAAAAATAGCATCGAACAAAATAGAAGCAAAAGTCATCTCAAGATTGTGTCTGCATTTTGTGTTATTCTCGCTCGAGTCAAGAGCAAGCTTCACCTGATCCAAGCTCTGAACTGGCTCTGAAGAGTCAATTGACTTCGGCAAAGCAGCCTTCACTAGAGTGGAATAGTAAGCCTTCTGGTTAATCTTCTTAGGCCCGTCCTTGCTAGGTTCTTCAACCTCATCAATATAAGCCACACGAACTGATGGGTACCTGCAAAATGAGCACAAAATCGAAATTGTTAAAGTACAGCAACCAACAGGTCAAAGATGAAAGATTTAAGCGAGAATGCACACATACGTGGTCATAAGCCTCAAAATATCATGTGCACGTTGATGCCCAGATCTTTTGTCAATACCATATTGCTGACATGAGACCACATAAGTGAACTTCATGTCAGCTACCGCTTGACATTGGGCCCACAGTGACCGAACACCTCTTGAGTGCTCCTCTGTGTTTAGCTCTACAGCCTTATAACCTTCCATTAAATCTGCACATTTGCAATATCCAAACAACCATAATTCGTTTTCTTATGTCAGAACAAGTATGCCGACACGTACAATAAGCATTAGCTATGTGAGAATAGACACTGACTCGCAGAGAAGATTGAAAAGCCAGCTAACTACTACATGAGTCTCAAGCAACTCAAAAACTTCCACAAAGCTCATCATGACAAGAGCACACACCTTCATCTTTGGCCATATCAAGAAAAGCCTGAAGCTCCAAAGCTTTCCGGTAATACATCATACCTCTCACTGTCATCAGTAGCATATTTTAATCAATCCAATGACAAGAAATACATGCGAAGAGGATATGACATATGCACAAGTGTATCTCCTCTCTTCTTTTTCTTTTTTATTTTTTTGAACTTTCCATTTATAATCGTTATGGCCTTTCAAGAAAGTTGAAAGTGTTTACAGTATAGTCTTAAACCAAGATGTCCAAAACAGATCTATACAGCTGTTGGAACTATTCTTTTTTATAAACATAGAACTATTCTAACAAATTACCCTCATAAACTTAAAGTCAATTGATCCCGGGTTGGAGAGACATCCTTCAGTAGGATTCAAATGAAGTAAATAAAAGAAGAGAAATACTAATAGTCATTCAAGTTGATTGGTAGAAAATGCATAAATCAGGTCATGCGACCTGTAACTTTTTAAAATAGAGTATCCAAAGTATAAATGCTCTGATGCCGCAAGATACATACAAGCCGCAAGTTTCCTTTTTTTTTATCATTGGATGGTTAGGGAATCTTCCCATTCATTGTTATGTTTCATTTTTTGTTCCTTTGTGTGTGTGTGTGTGTGTTTGTGTGTGTGTGTGTGTGTGAGAGAGAGAGAGAGAGAGAGAGAGAGAGAGAGAGAGAGACCAGTTTTAGTTAAGGTCTGGCCTCTATATGATGCCCAAAGACGAAGGTTTTCTTCCAGCTCATCAGATATTTTGAGTTCCTCTTCACTTGTACACTTCATCCGCTCAAGAAAATTGGTCCATTCATCTGCAAAAATTGGTGACGGATCTCAGAAAAAGAAGAAAACATAGCAAAAGAAATATGTAAATAGCATGAGCACAATAAACCTGGAAAAATTTTCTGCAAGTAAAAGATGATTGAAACACCATCTTCATTTTGCGATTCCAAGTCCTTAAGCGAGAAGAGAACCTCCTCCGTGTAGTAGGGAGTCAAAACGCTGACATTGATTATTACGTTCAAAACAATGAGCAAGCACATTAAAATGAAAACACAGAAAAGACATACACTCTAAGGGCTACATTACAGATGACTTTTTATCCAAAATTTAAGCATGCTTGTCTCTGATTGGTATTTGATATTTGTACGAGCCATCAATTAATGTATAGCTGAATTGTTGTCTCCTACGAATATGAAATACTACAACAGCATAAAGTTCCCATATTGCTAGTACTAACAACTAAGAACATAATCAATTCATAAAGGAGATTCTCTGATACATTTAAATTTACATAGCAAAATAAAATTTTAAGAAAAGAAATTCATATGGGCACCAATCACACACATCCGCGTTGCACAATTTCCTGGATTGTGTGAAGCCGTTTGATTACACAAAAAGAGTAGAAAGATAGCATCGCACACAATTAATAACTTTTAATGCACCTGTCATTTAATGGTGTCACCAGACTTAAATGAGCTATGTGCAGATGTTCAATCTCAAGTTATGCAGTAAAGCACTCACTGATATTTGACAATTGAAAAGAAAACTACTTGAAACGCCACCTACTTGACCACAGAAAGGAAAAGTATTCATTTTCGTCATTCACTAAGCTAACTTCAGTAAAGGAACTGTAAGCTCCAACAGATGGTCTTCAACTTCATAAAATGGAACAAAAATCTAGAAATTGTGGCTCATGCTTGGATTGGGGCATTTGGCATTGGAATGAAGAAATAGGTTCAGGAGGCTTTCATTGGTGTTCCAAAATAGCGATGGCAACTGGGGCAGGGCAGAGGGCGGTTTGCATCCTCCATCCCCACCCCACAATTACTGGACATGCCCCATCCAAACTCCATGCCCCATATAGAGCAAGTTTATGTACCCCATCCCCAACTCAACCGGTAAGCAGATTCCTCCACAACCCATGGTTTAGACTTTATTTATCCAACAAAAATTATCTCAATTTCAAAGCTAATAATGAAAAAAGAAAAAAAAGGGTTATTATTGGAAACCTTCACAATTGAAATAGGAAACAATTGAAAAACAATTAAATAATATTACTATAACTCAATCGATTCATTTAAGGAAAGTAAGACTGGGAATATGTAAAGTGAAAAATTAAAGGGTGGGGCGGGGTCATGGGGTGGGGCGGACCAAACCCATCACTGGCCTGCCCCACCCCGCATTCGGTACATGAAACTTTGCCCTGTCCCCACCCCAAAACCCACAGATTCCGGATTCTGTTCTCCCCATTCGGGGCAGGGCACTGTGGATATCCACTCGGGGAGGTGGGGTTGACATCCACGTAATGGTTAAGTACAGAAATTGCCATTTTTTTTGGTGGGAAGAAATTGCCGGTTTAAGTTACCTCTTTTGTGACTTTTGAATAGTACCAGCATGCATAAATTGACTAGAATTCTTTCTATTACAGACAGCACTATCTACCTTTAATTTTTTCAATTTCAACCACCTTAAAGGCTGGTTGGATCTTCATATAGAAACCACACATCTAAGTCATACAGAAAGGTTAGTCTTAAACTATAAAGCTTTTTTCGCTGGAAACTTCAAAAAAATGGTAACTATGAAAAAGGCCTTACGAAAAGGAAAGCATATTGCGAACTTTAGGAGCAGCTGGCATTTCCATAAACAATGAATTGGAGAAGAAGGAAATGCGCCTTCTGGCCTCCAAGTTGGAAGGTACATCCATGGCGGATTCCTTTGTGGTAAGCAATAAATCAAGCCGCTTAATCTGCAAATTGAATAAGTAATAATATAGGTTATAGCAAACTAGAAAATCCACAAATACGCACAATTTCCTGCAAAAAAAGGGCACCTTCTCCTTCCAAGCTTCTGTTTGTGGTTCAATAGGAAACTTAATGGCCCCAGCAGATGCAAACAGTTGGTATTGCTGCTCAATTGGAAGAATTTCCTCATGCCCAGATCCACCATGGATTGAGTCAACTAGACTGCATAAAAAAGTAAACATATGATCCACCATGGATTAAGTCGCAGGGATGAAACAAAGTCACGATTGCACCCAGATGCCAAACCTGGATATCTGATCTTCCATCATTATGTCTCGTGTAACAACTTCAAGCATATCTTGGAAGAGAATCACAACTTTATCCCTGTCCTCTGGTTTATTGTGTAACTGCAAATAAACAAAATTAAAACAAGAAAATGATTATTTAGTCGACCCTAAATTAACCAAAAAATTTGAAAAATACAAACAGAACATAAACTTTACCAGATATTGGATGAGCTCAACAAAGAGTTTATACAGGCTTGGAAGAGCACTCATCTTGAATTCATGTATCAGAGTGTTATCTTGCACATGTTTGTCAACTTCAGAGAAGATGTATTCAATAACCCTGGGACCCAGCATTGGAGACCAAACAGGGCACATTAGAACCAGTAGGCTTTGGTCATCTTACAGAGATTTATAGAATAGGTGACAACAAAAGTTGCAAAGTAGACTTACTTATTTTCACGCTCTCCTTGAACCAAAGACTTAATGATGTTTCTAAACTGAGCATAGCATTCACGAATGGCGCAAGACATATATTCGTCAGTCTCAATTCTCTTTCTGAGCTCCCGGTCATTACCATTGCTGTCTTTAGCCATGTCTAGTGCTATAGGTATCTGCATAATATGTAAATCAGATGTTAGGGAGGGGAACTCCAATATATAACAAGACATCAGTGAACCAACCTTGCTCGCCAGTAAAAATGGAGGCCATTGGATAATGTTTTCTAGTTCACGATCAGCCCAATATGGAACAAGCAGAAGGTTCCTCTCCCTGGAAAAGCAACACAAGCAATTAAATATCGACAACTAAAAAGTAAAACAGTAGCAAATAATCTGTTACTAGAAGAGATTGCAGTGGAGTCCAGTAGAAACAATAATCACAATGATGATAACAGAAAAGATATTTTAAGCACAAGACCTATTGCTAATAAGATCTTCTTCTCTGAAGCTGCTAATTATTGTGTTCCATAATTGAGCAAATCTTGGTGCGACTTTCTCTTTGTTATTTTGGATCTGTCAGCAAAGCCAGATAAACAACATGAGTACTGCAAATGAATTCAACAACCAAAATGATGTCAAATATTTGGAATGGAAAAAATCCGTGCTGAATTGTGGAACCTCACCCTAGCATCATAATTTCGTGAAAAGAATCTTTTTTTCTTCTGGACGGTCTTCTCGTCCGGGATTAAACAGGCATTGAAAACATGCGGCAAAGTTTCGAAACGAGATCTGAGCATTCCCAATGTCCGTATCTGGGGATTTCAAGAAACAAGGAAATGAAAAGCAGAAGGATCTTATTAAAACCAAATTAAGAATTTCTCCACAATGTTACCTAATGCAACTTAAAGACGAAAAAGATGATAATGCTGATGAAGAGGACTCCTGTTTATGTCTCAGACAACTCTATTTGGACATATGTGAGAAGAAACGTGCAGATCCAGAAATGTTAAATGAAGACAGAAATGAAATGCAAAAGGACAAAAACTACATCAATCCATTGTTTGCTGTACATTATCAGACAGATATCCACAATCCAACTTCCTAACAGTGCACACTGTACAATATACAGATTAAGCAGCATATCACCAGATGAAGACAACGTCTCTTAGTATACCGTAGAAATTGCAAAAAACTTGACACAAGCTAAGAAGCCTGTTGCAAAGCTAGCAAAACAATCTCTACAAGTAATCATGCAATATAATTTACTGAAATTTAACATAGTAGTTTATAAAACAGTGATCGCAAAACAAATAATGTCTAACCACCAGCTACAAGCTACCAAGTCTGCCAACATATGTTAGTAATAATTTTAACAAATCAACTGAATTAAGGAAAACTTTGCAATGATTCCTGCTGGTGACATATACATTGCTGCTGTTAAAGTAGACAATATCGTTCTTTCTGTTGTCCTCGATCATACCAGGGATGGTGCACTGTCATAGAAAATGCACGTATCCAAGCCAATGAAAACCGTTCTTTACAGGTAAAAAAAACCAGCTTCAAACTTCTCATAATGACTATAGTGCAATTCCCATAAAAAAAAAAACACAATACAAGCATGAGCAAACTCATAAGAACCACTACTTGACATTTTCCACTTACCTCTCCAAGCCGACGAAACGCACCATAAATTCCTCCAAACAAAGTGGAGAATATGGCATACCATATTTGAGTATCCATAAAGTAGACCTAAGAGAATAAGAACTATATCAAAAAGCGGAAGACACATGGCCGAACCAGTATTACGACAGTGTACCCAGAGAAAAGTAGTACAGCCTGTACCAAGATAACAGGAGCCCAGACAGCAATCACGACACCAATATTGTTTTTTGCTGCAAAGTTAAAAAGTATATGTAAATACAGATTCTCGAGGCTTGATGAGAAGTATTTACACAACATGGCAATATTCAGCTTTATAACCTTGTGGAAAGAATTCATGCCACTGGAAATTAGTCACATGAGCACTCATTATAGCTTTTGTAGGAGCCACCAAAGGCTTTATCTGCAACTCATTTAAAAAGGGAAAAACATGTTATCAGGAATCTAAACAAATGGCAGCCATTAAAATTAGTTGTGAATATCTTCTTGAGTACTCAGGCAACAAGAATGTCGAGAATTTATTACAGCATCTGCAAGCTCCATATAACACCATCAACTGGCTCTAAAGAATTTATCACTAGGTTTCATTGCAAGTAAACATTTCCTTAGTACTTTGTTGCCCTAGATATTAGTTGCTAAGTACCACAGAAAGAGTCCAAGACAGACCAATATTTCACATACCTCTATGAAATAACTGAATGCCAACTTCGTGATTAGCAGAAGAACCCAAAACAATGTGTACCTGACACAAAGATGCCATATATTAAATGTCAGACTTCGGCCCAAAAAACGTAGGTGTAAAGTGTACATCTTTTAAGAAAGAAGTTTTACTTGAAGAGAGAGAACGTGCTTTCATGCATTCCCCTCCCAACATAGAGCCGAGGCTGCAATTCATGAGGTAACCATTACAGCCAGACATCCATAAATAACAAATAGGACTATACTTAATCCGTCATATGCACAAGCAACTAAATTCTTGTCTCAGCATTTAATCGCAAAGTGAAACAAGAAGGATGATCATATGCATACCTGTGACCACCACATCATGAGCATCACAATCTTATAATGCGAACTCTCCAGGAATCGACGGACCGAAGGGAAGAGAAACAACAATGCAGCGAGCATATTTGGAGAGAGGTAAATCACAACAGCTAAGATAAACAAGGAAGGTGACTTTGAACCATTGCCAAACCAGCTTTTGATGGTTTGAGCGAATCCAGGAGGATTCTCCCAAGTATAAGCATATGTTACTGGCAGAACAATAACCCAAGCAGCAGCCGAAACAACCTTTAAGATGTATCTTAGCTTTACAAAATTGGACATGCTCCGTTGTGCTTTCCAGCTAAGAATTACATCAAGTACAGCTGCACCAAAACAGCAAAAAGATTATTCTTCCATGTTAATATCCTGAAGGAATATAACAAAACTCCATCCTATAAGAACTTAAATACAATTATAGCAGACTTACGCTAGGAGAGCCTGCCTTAACCAAAAAGATTTTTAAAAAAAAGAAAAACAAAGAAAAACAGCAGTTTTCTACTTTAGAAGATGAACTTGTAAAAGACTCTAAGAAAGTCAGCAAAGATAGAGGCTCCACCTAAATCCAGTAATGTCTCAATAAGAAAATTGAAATTTGCGCAGAAGAAGCAAATTCTTCCCTCCTCATCGCCAGTTCACATTTATTTTCCTCAATTGCACAGGAAAATTCCCTTCATTAATCACCCTTAACTAATCTAGGCTATTCTGCTTCTTTATAAAATTCTCCAAAAAGCAGGTGTAGTTATAAATAAGCATACGTTAAATGTTCACATGAGCAGTAAAGCTTTGGCTCGCAAAACACTGGTAATTGCTTCAATTTTTGGTCTCAATCTGAGTGTATATGCACTCTTGATCATTTCATCATCTAAATTCATTTATTTGAAATCGTAAAAGATCTACATGCACTTAACACACTGACAAAGATCCTCCTAACACATGGTTTCACATGTTTTTTCTATTTGGTAATGCTCGTCAAATGCAAAACATGCACTGCAGACCATGTCTAGTCTTGCTTTAGAATTGTAGGTACGATGAATAAAATACAGATGATTGTGTGCAAACAAAGTTCAAGGAGCCTCAGAAAGGAAAAATAACAGAATTGACACCAGCAAGGTTAAGCTCTAATACCTTGTCCTAGCTTCAGTATCGCAGCGGTTATAAAAATAGACAACACTTTCTTAAAAACATCAGGAGTAAATAGAGCAGTTGGATCCCCAGAGCCATTCCAAGCGACAATTATCATTGCCTAAAAAAAGATCAGAGCCATATTCAGTATAGCTCATACATAGCAATTTTATATAGAGAAAATTCGAGTGTACCAAGTACCAAGAAAGTGTTAACACGAACCTGTAAGGATAGAATAAAGAAGCTCCACATCCGATCATAGCTTCTGAAAATGTGCCAGAAAGACCGTATTTCAACAAAATTCACCTTCCCAACCCATCGATCTCGATAAGCAGGTTTTGAATCCTACATAAATTAACACAAGAAAATCAAGATTAGAGTCTGTACGTCCAACTTAATCTTCATACATTCACTAAAAAAAAAAAAACTAGAAATCCTCACTCCCTCACTAAACAAACGAGTTTTCACTGATACGGAGACAGAGGGAGCAAAAGGAAAGATTAAGCAAGCAATTCGGCTAGCACAGAGATTGAGGCGGCAGGCAGCAACACCCCCCCCCCCTCCCAAAAAAAACATAAATAAAAAAATAGGTAAGTTGACAAACAAGGCCTTCAGAAGCCAAAGTTAACAGGAGGTCAGTAACAAGTTGTCTGGCCGGGCACCCTCGTAGAACAAGAGGCCCTTAAATGGTCACTTTTATTTCTCTTTTCGAACACAATAGAAATTCTTTAAAAATGATCCTACATTACGTTTCTAGACATTTTAGTATAATTATTAAATATAGAGAACTGACACTTATAAGATTCACGCGTAAAAATGTAAGCTATTGAAGTACACATAATTTTACTGACCAAAAAAAAAGTACACATGATTTCTTGATTATGAAAAAAATGCATGATTTTATCATAGCTCCATCAAACTTAACTTTCCTTCGGTACTACATTATCGTAGCTTTTGGACGAGGTGCTGGACGTAACATGTGGTTCAATGATGAAGGATGGATCACTATGTTAAATGGGGGAGTGCATGGGGTAGGGATATAAAAGTGCATAACGCAGGGATGGGATGACTTCAAAAGAAAATTCCCCATTGGTGTGGGCAAACAGCCGCAAACCTCACCATAGACTGATAAATGTTGTAGAGATGCTGCGTTGAAAGGCATGTTTGCTCACTTGTTCATCTTAAAAACCAACAAGCAATCTAAAGTGGCTGATAGGAAGGCTAGCAATAGACAAATGATTTAACAGATTGACTTTATTCATCGGGCTCAAGACAGGGAGTTAGAAGCTTTATATAAATTCTTGAGCTGTTGTACACGATGACGACAGACATGGGAAAGTATGACCACCAATGAGATATCGTTCTAGCTCCTACTTGGATCTCACTTCTGCGGACGTTACACAACAGAACACAATTTTCCCGTGGAAGGCTAGCAATAAAAAATGGTTCAATAGATTGACTTTATACATCTGGCTCAAGACAGGGAGTTAGAAGCTTTATATAATTTCTTTGAGCTGTTGTACACGATGACGATAGACGTGGGAAAGGATGATAGCCATTGAGATATTGTTCTAACTCCTACTTGGATCTCACTTCTGCAGAAGTTACGCAACAGAACGCGCTTTTCCCGTGGAAGTCAATTTAGAAACAAAAGGTCATTTGAAGGCTTCATATTTCTCCTAGGAAACTGCCTGGGGAGTGGGGATGTAATCTAACTTTCTATAACCTTCAAAAGAAAGGAAAACTTTTGGTGAATGGTGAATCAGATGATTCTTACGCCAGAAAGATGGAGTGTGAACCACTAATTGTTGCGTCTTAGTTCTACCAAACAGATTGGACTATAGTTTTCACGACTTTAGGAGTGCAGTGGGGTACTTCAAAATCAGTGCAACAAGAACTTTGGCCTCGGAAGGCTATCAATTCATGTGCAGGAAGGAAAGACAAAAGTTGTCAAGGTGGTTCCTGTCCTTGTCTCTAGGTTCATTAGGAAGTAAAAAAGAAACGAGAGGGCACATTGATGAGCAGAATTTTAAAGGGTTCTTTTAGAGATTAATGGCTTTACACTAACTTTAAGCATGGTGGGAAAATTCAATTTCCTATTTATAGCTTGTTGAAGTTGATAGAAACAGTCTCTTAATGCTTTTTGTAAGTGTTTGGCTTCCTTAGGAAGTTGATTTGTACACAAGTGGAGACCTTTGGTACCTTCTTGGAAAAATTTTAGTCATCCTTCAAAATGAGGGCGCTTTAAGATCCTTGATTGTGTGTATGTTGTGATATACAGTATATTGTAATATACAAATACACATGGCAAGTAACGTAACAAGCACGAGATTCGCTCATAAACAGATTTTGCTATTAAGCAACCATAAAAAGACCTGCGAGAAAAGAACAAATATATGTACCTCAGTTTTCTCAAAATGTTGTGGTTCCTCAGCAGTAGAAACGTGAAAAAAATCAGCATCTGCACGCATTGGCCAACCCAACCGGAAACAGTCAGCGGACCTGTCAAAAGATAGTAAGTTAATATCCCCTAAATTAAAAGGAAAAGCTAGTGAAAAAATGTGAATTACCAAAAGTATTCATTTAAATCATCATAGTTCCTCCATTGAGAATGCTTCGATCTTCCGCGCTTACTCCTTTCCGCTTCCTGATTAGGAATTAAGTAGCATAAAATAACCAAAAACACGAAGAGATAAGGCAAAACCAGAATTAATATATATATTGCGAAGTACCTTGGCAATCACTTGATAAATAGGAGTAACAACTTTCCTCAAAAAGGCCTCTTCTTCACCTCCATAAGCAGGCTTTACATTTTCTCCAGTCATGGGACTGACATTACCAGCTAGCATGCCATACAGTTCGAAAGCCATCTACAAGAAGCACAAGCAAATTATAAGTAAAGCATCCTAACAAGGAAAGAAGGCAATTAACAGAATGTAGATGATCCAATATCGGTACAGTATCAGCTTCTGTTAAATTATTTCACTTGAAAGGAAAGCTCTTTCTTCGTATGACCAAGTACCAACATAATCCAGTATTAACGAGTCACCACTTAAGCATGTCATCCATATATCAAGACAAGTTAAGATTCAGAAGATTGTTTCCAGGATCTATGCTAATACACTTGAGATTTACAAAAGAATCATAAAAAAATTTGTAGAAACCTAAGGAATGCCAATTTAAGTAAGCAGGAACAGATAGATCAACAATAACCTTCCAAAGCATGAACAGAATATTAACAGCACGAACCATAAGAAACATACATGATGATAAATATAGCAAAGGCATTCTGGCATGAATCTCAGATTTGCTGCTTCCCCCCAAATAAGAAGATATAGACCCATGTAGAGAAGTTTACGCTGCTGCACTTCCTGCTGGATCGTCGGTAACCTGCATATTTAGAACCAAGGTTGCACATGAAGAAAGGTACTCTTGATCAGGAATTGAGATTAGATGCATACACTACTGGTGCAAATCAAGAATAAAAAAAAGACCATTCCATCAATATACTTTATGACCAGTCCATTAGCTAGAATTCATTGATGATAATGGCTGGCTTCCGCACAATCCACGGAGTCAAGCAAGTATAAGGATGCGATAAGATTTTTCTTCGTCTGGTCCTGTAACTTGTACACTCATGTTTTGATTTCGTCAACCTTTTCTACACAATCAAGTTCTCTAACTTCCTCAATTTGTGTGATATGGTCCTATCATGAACACTGTTAACATGCAGAACATGTGGAAATTCAGTAAACATGTGCTAATGCAGCGCATCAGCAATACAACGAAATATCAGAAATGAAAAGGACAACATAAGAGAGAGTGAAGGGGCGGGCATCACCTCTGCCAGCTACCAGCAAGGGCCAGAGTGGTGAGATTAATTGGAATGCTACAGAACTCAAATTATGTCTATCATTAACCTAATCGCCCCAACAATTTGCATCTAAGCCACAAATCTCAATGGCCATCAATCAAATTATAGAGGAGCTTGGACCTTTGCCATTGGTCAAGGTCCAGCAGAACCCTATTAACCCCTTCCAACTCTTATTTCTGTTTGTACGTTTTTCTTAATCAAACAACTTGAAATAATGATTCCAATTTCAATAAGACACTATTCTAGAATAACAATTGAAAATGAGTTTTCATTGCCCCTTTTTTTTGTGAATCTTTGCCACTTTTAACTCAGCTCCTTCTGTATGAGTTGTACACAAGTTATCCACATTTGCTTTTCAACTCTTTCATTCTGTTTACTACTAAAAGGCTCTCTGATGGTAAATTATTATTCAACACCATCGCCTCAAAGGCTCTCTTCTGATGGTTCGTTCTTATTCAGTAGCATCGCCTCAAGTTATGTTCTCTCGTTCTGTTGAAAACTATCATCTCTACAAATTTGATATTAATTTTAAATTCCGTAGCTTTTTTTTCTTTATTCAATATAGTAACGTTTCTCTCACCGTGTTTTCTCTAATTCTCATCAAGTTCGAATCAGGTCCTTGCATCTTATCAAAAATTACCACAATTTCTTGTTAATTTAATTTTGCATTATACTTTTCATTATTTATATTTCATGCGATAAATTTCCCTAGTAATACATACGTGAATTTCAAAGATAAGATCTTTTCTGAATTTCTTTTCATGACAAGGTAAGCATCCCATGTAGCCCAAATTGCCACATCAGCAGCACCATGTCTGCATACCCATGCAACAGCTGATTATCAAAATTAAAGAAGTTACACTTGATTTAAAAGCAAAGAAGTTGGGAGGATCATAAGAAACAACGGAACATGACCAAAATTGGACTTCATCCTTCAGTATTGTCCCCATAAAATAAGTCATAATCTTGTCTTTGTAAAGAAGAAACAGCTAACAAGCACAGTCTTCTACTAAAGCGTTAATAGCTCCACATAACCACCATACTCGCCAGATAAAGTAGCGGAAGAAGCATTACCAAAGACTGCTCTTCCTATCCAAGAACTTGCACCATTTTTTATAGTTCTTGAAAAGTTTCTTCATCACTTCTGTGAGTGCCTGATCATCCAACTAACCAAGAAGATAAGCAAGCATTTCAGCATACTAAAACTCCAAAGGCCATAATAAAGATCAATTGCATAAATACTATTGGCCAAAACAAAAAGGATATACAAATACTTTATCTAAGATTGGACAACAAATAAATGTTATTACAATCCATGATTCATGTAGCTTATGCTCGAAGTTACATATCATATAGGTGAGAACTTTGTCCACAAAGGGACATCAGTGAAATGTTCTGACAGCCCATGATGAACAGTTTATGCTAGTCAGATGACAATAGGATATAAAGTGGGAAATAGATGGAATATAAAGTTAAAAAGTCTGCACAACCAAAAAAAAACGAAAACAACATCATCAACAGCCTCATATAGCTTTACTTGTCATATTAGACTAGATGCTTCATCTCACTAGAGACTTTCATGCTGTAGCTCATGCTCGAAATTGCATATTTATAGGATGAAGTGGATAAGAAACAGCAGAACCAGAATAACAAAGAGAACATCAACATCCTCAGCTAGCAGTACTCGTCATATTAGACTGAATCCTCAATGAGATAGAATCACAAGCATTGCAATTGTTAGTACAAATAATTATATTGCCTTCAATATAGCAAGGAAGGAAGAGAATTGTCATCCCAAGCCCAAGCCATGGAAAGAGGAAAACGATATGATCTCTCTCAATGCCAAAGACAGTAGAAATGTCTAAATGGTGTTTGCGCTCCTTTCTACTCAACAAGAAGGATTCATGAACCACAGAATCAGGCGAAACTTTATGAGATCAATGGATTTGCCATAGTTCAAAGCTCACCAACATAAGAAAGGCTTACTCGTTCTCAAGAATTAAAAGAATAGAAGCAAGCGTAACGGGTGAGAGTGAAGCCCACAAGAGCATACTGGGTGACAGTAGTCAAGAAAGAGGTCAACAAAATGTGAGATGCTGAAACCAAGCCCACTCGACGGGAGGTTTCTCCCTGGAAGGATGGACAGTTAACAGGTATTCCATCGAATGGGTAACATCACTTACTCCTCCAGACAACATAATAGCAAATACACAAATGATTGAAAACCCTCCCTCAAACCAATACGAAAACAATCCAGTAAAGAGACACCGCATACTGTAGCAATTTACTTGCAGAAGGACAAAATAGATGCATCTTATAGGATTAATTGCGTGCAAGACACCTTGGGTGGCTGGTCGGGTTTTGGAAATCTCCGAATGTGCACATTTGCAAGCAATAAGATCAAATGTTCCCTTTGGTTTGCCACATTATCCTTCTGTAAATAGACAGTCGAAGGAACCAGCATAAGTCTCCATACAACTACTTATCAGCTACAAAATACAATGACAAATGAAAGAAAACCAATAGAAGAGTAAATGGAAGAAGTTGCTTAGTCCACTTACCTGAAATCCAAACATTGCCTGAAGCCAATCAAGAATGTCGTCATCCTTCTTTTTGTGGTCCTTTGGCCATGGAAGGCCCCTCGTATTGCGAAGTGCCACAACAGCAGCTTGGATCTACAAAAAAAGAATATCACATACGGCAGGATTTTCATGTACTTGCAAAAAAGTAAGGTCATAGCATAACATTTCAATGTATGGTAGGGGAAGCAACCTCAGGATATTTCATGATCGCCTGATTTGCACTATCAGGATCCAGAGGGAGAATGTTGTAAGGAACGTAAATTTGTGTTTTTTCCGCTACTTTATCCTGAGCCTCCAGAATCTGTACAAACGTAAATGTGAACAGATATTACTCGCAGACATATTCTATGAAAAAGAAAGAAGATTCTTTTTTCTAAGTGGAATCGGCTAATACAGCTCGTTGCACATGCTGTCAGTTAGGAAAAAATTTAGATAATATGTCAAATGTCTCATTCTAATCAGCATACCTCCCATCAGACAAGATATTTATCATGTAATGGTTCCAGAAATGTACAAAGCTTTACCTCCCGATCGACTTCCATGGATTGTGTCATATTAACAGCTTTCAACACCTCAAAAAGTACATTAGCAGTTTGGTAAGCCTTGGTAAGCTGAGCACTGCATTTGAGACCATGTTAAATGCTGAAAACTAGGAAACTAATAGCAAAATTTCCCAACACATTTAAAGTAACTTTATGGACATACCGATCAGCTTTATCAGCAGCATGCAAAGCTTGAATGTATTTTTTATAATAATGCTGATAAAAACTCTGCATTTCACGCGCATCACTTTTTTTAACCCTTCCCATTAAGGTTGGATCATTTTCCTGGAAATCGATAGAAACATTACAGAATTTCATTAGATATAAAGGTACCTTTAAAAGGACTGAGCATGGAAAAAAAAAACACAGACAAGATCACTAAGAAGTTTAACTCCTAAGACTTAGATACATATATAGTTTCTCCATATGATTATTTTTTCACAGAGAAGAAGAAACATGCAGCAAGTGGGGAATGACAGCGTCCTAGCTCTAAATGATTGACCGTACATGGAAATAGTCCTCAATTGGAAGTATCAATCCGTATAACACCTTAGACTCAAAAAGCTAATTGAAAGTAATTAAAAGGAATCAAATCACTTAAAAAATTTATACATCAATAAGCATGTGTTTTTCCAAACAGAACACCGCTTCCATAGGGGAAAAAGGGTAATTGCACCTAATGGAGAAACAGTGCTTACCCTTTCAAGACGCTGAAGGAGAGCAGTCTTAAATTGACGAACACCACGTCCACTAGAAGTGGGATCCAACCTATGAGCCTTCTCAAAAGCATAAAATCGACCTACATCATAACAGCCAACAAGCTTAAATATGTGAAGTAATACGATGCATCAAAAATAGAAGCAATTACCTCAAATAACAGTATTGAACTGCGAAAGAGAGATGGAAGTAATAATGAAATCGGAGCATATGAGCTTGCTTATGCTTAGTGCTTCAAATGAAAAAATTCAATATGTTTTGAGGTGTTATATATCAATTTTATTCACTGGAAAACATAATATATAATGCAATAAAAGTCAAATCCCAAATGCCAAAACCCTTCCTAAAGTCAAAAGTTAGAGCAACGGCCATAAACCACTACTCCAAACATACATTGACCAACCAGAAAATCAAGAACATCTTTAACTTGTACAAACTTAGCATCTTACATGTGTTAAGACAAACTAGAAATTGATAGACATACTCAGAAAGTAAGAGGAATCTGAATAGTCTGCACAATCACAGCACGACAATCGGAAAGTTAAAGTTATGCGTGGTGCACGGTAAGTCAGCAGGATGCCAAATTTATTTTTTAGTTCTTCACACTTAAAGAAGGTTAAACAACCACTATTCAAGTTTTAAGTTCCCTATATACAGCAAAACCATTTTAAATAATTCTCTAGAATAAAGAAACAACAGAAATGAATCATCTTTTCTTTGATTGACTGCAACATATCTTCAGGCTGTTTCCCAAAAGTGAAGTGTAGCAGCTAAAAGACCACAACAAAACCAGACACGTCATGTAATCAGAAGAACCATGAACATCCTTGACCTCCACTAACTGACATCTTATATTAGTTAAGCAGGTTAAATTGTCACTAGTCAAGTTTAAGTTCCCTTTATAACAAGAAACATTTAATTATCTGTAACAAAGAAACAACGGATATGAATCATCCAGTCTTTGATTGACAACAACATATCTACAGGCCGGTTCCCAAAAAGTAAGAGTAGCAGCGAAAAAACCACAATGACATCAAAAGACACATCATGTAATCAGAAAAATCGTGAACATACTTGACCTTTACTAACTTAGGATCTTACATCGGTTAGTCTGTCCAAATATAGCTAAAGCATACTCGAGACAGGATTGTCGTTATGGAATCATCTGCTTTAACATAAATTTAAAATGTATCTTCAGTGTGTCTCACGAGTAATTTATGATAAGCAGCTGCTGCAAACACCAATCGTTGGTTCTCCGCATAATGACAAAATGTAGTAACGAGTCCATGCATGAATTATTAAAATAGGCATGTTCAGTTCTGCAGTAGCGGAACTACCTCGGGATCCAATATTGAAATAATAGAATTATCTGTTAGTGCAATAGCTAACAAAGGGGGGCTCAGTGCGATGACCGAAATTTCATTCACTTGCAAGAACCAATCTACAAGGGGATACTTCCATAAGTTCAAGATTAAAGTGGATCTCAAATTCCCCACAAGTACGGAGACCCAGTTATCTTGAAGATATATCAAGAAAGCATATCCACAACAAACCAGCAGCCTCACACAAGTTAACCAAAACTTTGGCTTTGACAGAAAGTCGCATGAGCCAACACTACTCATAAGCAACGAAACAAGCACAAAATTAGAAACAAAAGGAAAATCCGACACTCAAAAATCCAGGAGCACGTGAGCAGCTATTCACAATTTCACAAGATAGAAGATCTGTCAAACTAGAAGCTACCATACACTGGAGAAGGTGCCAACATTACATAGAAAAACAGATAATATCAAAGTTAAAAGGCTGTATCCACTCACAGAGATAAGCCACCCTAGGGTTGCTGCTCTCGACCTCATTGGCCACACGCAGAATCGGCGCGATCTCCACCAGCGACGACGGCACGACCTCGCTGTCGAAGATGGACTCCCCGAGGGTACCGGCGGTCTGAGTCCGCATGAGCCGCCGCGCCGGCTGCGGCGGCTGGTCGGCCCCTCCTCGCGAGGTCGACATTTTTCACCCGAAGATCACCTCTTTTCCAGGATTAAAAAAAGAAAACGAAAACGAAAACAGCAAAGCTCCGTCAGTCCCTACCCCTCTGGCACATCAACTGAACATATCCACTGATCAAATCAAGAAAAAGAAAAAAAAAAAGGAGGGGGGGGTGGGGGGGGAGGGGAGGGGAGGGAAACAAGGAGGAGGAGGACGAACTATCGGCTGCAGAAAGAGAAGGAGCAACCACCAGCTACGAGGACGGAAATGGCGCTTCCGGAGCCGAAACCGGAACCATGCGAGGCGCCGGAGCTCCGATCGGCTGAGCTCCAGCAGAACGAGCTCCCCCCGCTTACTTCTCCAGCAGCTAACCACCGGAAAACCCCGCCGCGAACCCCCGCTGAGAATCGAACTGCGGCTCGCCAAAGATCAAGCTGCGAGAAGCTCCTCCGAACACGAGAGAGAGAGAGATGGAGAGAGATGGAGAGATGGAGATGGTGTGATGCTTTAAGCTATACTTGGAAGAGAAGGAAGCAAAGAGTGCGTGCGAGGGTGAGAGAGGTAGAGATAGAAAGAGAAAGAGAGAGTGTGGTGGGACACCACAGTGACTAGGAGCAGGACAGAGGGAGTGGTACTGAGAATAAAGATGGACGCTGCCGAGACTAAAGGACCCAGGGCTCTTACCGTAATTTCGCCCCTGGCTCCTCGAATTCCACCGGGCATGCCACCGCGCAGTGGCCCCCCCCACCGTCCTCTTCCTCGCAGCGGTTCTGCTCGAGCTCCGCATTTCCCAAAAATGGCCCTGGCTCAGTTCGATATTTACGTGGCGGACCGTTTCTGTCGATGGACATGTACCCCCCCATCCTTGTCTCTCTAGATTCGAATTTGAATTTTTAAATATCACGCTTTCGCCTCTACCGAGAATAACGTACAGGCGACAATAGTTAAGTATTTGAAATAATGTCGAATGCTGAGTATTATCGGATATTTTAGCTGAATTGAGATGAATTAATCTCCCCTATGCATGCGGAAAAACCCACGATGGCATTTCCGTAATAGTACAGAACACGTGTGGGCATGTCCGGGAGTCCGTTGAAAATTCAAAAGCTAAAAGACGTAAGGCTCTAGGAGCAAAAGCAAGCCCGTCGAAAAGTAGCCGTTCCGCCTGTGAAATTACGACCCTGACCTCGCCAGGGATCCTCGGTCCCCGTGATGATCTCGGCCGATGGCGAGCACGGGATCGCGGATCCAAGGCCGTCGATTTAGCAGCTGGGCCAGGAGGGACGGACCGGGGCGGTTCCGGAATTTCGCGACCGGAGCAGGGGCGAGGGGGCATTTCGCCGAGCTGCGGAGATAAATGTCGGCTTGTTCTGTCCAACACTCCAAACTGGCTTTTGTTTTCTTCAGGGGGCGAAAAGACGGCGGTGCCCCTCGATGGCGACCGACGTCGACAGCAGTCCGACCCCCGTTTTTACTTTGAAGGACTCTGTTTCGTGACGTGTCGAACGCGGATTGAATGTCCTCCTCTTGAAAAAGTTAGGATTCCCCCTCTGAGGTGTTAAAGTCCATTTTTTTTTCCTTTTTAATTTACGACTTTGCTTTCTTTTATTTTTTGCCTTTTTCTTTATTCGGGCGGTGATCGAGTGACGAATATACTAGAGGAAATTAATTATTGACAGGAGGGAATTTTGTTAATAATAAATGGCTTTTGAAAGGAATGTATCGATAAACATGTGCACGGTGCGCAGTATTTTGACTCATTCTTCTTTTTATAATTTGTTTAATTTTTCTTGGGTCAAGCTTTTATAATTTGTTAATTGACCGGCCTCGTCACCCATTGCATGAGAGAGAGAAAGGGGGGCCAATGACCTTTGAATTACCCAATTAGGATAAAAATAGGGAGGATCAATTCATTTTAAAGAAAAGAGAATTGAATGTTGCTAGTAAATTCTTCCCGATGAAGTTACAGAGAAAGTTACTGGGTTTCCTAGTTTGGTACGAGTGCGAGTTTGAAATCATTTGAAGGGGAAAATAACATGAACGGCCCTCTAAATTTTGGTCCAATATGCTTTGCCGTTTCTGAACTTTTAATTTGTTCAATGTAATCCATAAAATTTTGATTTATATTCAATTTGGTCCCTAGACCATTTGAAGATGACACAAGCGGAATGACTAGTTTAGGGATCACGTTAAACAAATTAAAAATTCACAGAAGACGTTACGCGCTGAGTCAAAGTTTATGGATCACATTGCACAGATTAAAAATCCATAAACGACCTTGTAAACTATTGGTGCTATTATCCCTCATTTGATACGTGCTATTAGAAGGCCACAGAATTTGCTTTTCAATAAAGAAACTCCAATCCAACACTTGGATTGACCCCTAGAGCCGAAGCCTCGAATCTGAAACTTGAGGGCTAGACTTGAAAATCTGAATGCCTGATCATAGTCCGGGGGACTTTCAGACTAAAGGCTAGAGATTTGACCCCCAAGCTTGACTTCGAATCACATGGCAAAACAAGATCGGTTGTGTATCTTGGATCTGAGTTCAACTCGTGGAATTCGAGGTCCAAGTGCTAAGGTCCGTAGGTTGCCCACACAATCAAGTTTCACAACGTGAGGAATGCACCTTGAACGAGAGTATATTATCTTATAGGATATAGTGGTCCAGATTGATAAAAGGAGATTCAAACATATATAGGAAATTTTATGGTCCCCAAGTGTTTCTAAGGGACGGGTCTTGCATATAACGTGGATCGTTAGAGAAAAAGGAAAAAATCGTGATCCGTCAGACCTGTTCTAAAAAGTGAAACCGGCAAAACCGATTCTCTACAGCAACTTGTCAGCATTAAAGAAAAGTTACAGCTGCAAAGATAATCAAACTTACATTTGATTAATAGAAGTTACAATGGGTAAGGAGAATTACCAAATCATAGTTTATAGATATCTACGAAGTGTAAGGAAAAGTTACTGCGAATGTTTTATTCGAAACAGTAGAACAAAGGATATTTGCTATTAACTTAAATAGGTTGTTATCTATGAATGAATGACGGGATACACAAAACTTACGAACACAAAAGGTAAATTATGTTGTTCCAATTAAAGTTATGAAAGGATATTTTACTGGTAAATTACTATTAGTGAGGACAAATTTACAAACTGCAAAGGAGAGTTATCCATTAGGTAATTTATTAACTGTAGGGCAAAAGAAAGTTACTAGTAACTTAGGTGAAATACTCTTTTTGTAAAATATTACAAACCAGGAAACTCACATAACTTATACGACAAAATGAAAATCTTCTGGGCTGTAAAGAAAAGTTGCCAAAAATACGTAACGGGTAAGTTACTATTAGGAAATTATGGATGTCAAAATGAAAGTTACGATCAATCGCTAATTTATTAACATTATGAGAAGGAAATTTAGTAGCTAACTTCGGCAGATTGCCATCTTTTTTTTTTTTTTGGAATTTTACAGATCACGTCACATGAAGAAAAGTTACCAAAGATATACAAAGTGTAAACTATCAAAGGAAAGTTAAGATCAATTAGCTAGTTTATTAAAAATACAAGAACGAAGTTTACAATTAACTTAGGTAAATTACTATTTTCAGTGAAATAGTACGACCACGGGATCCGATGAACTTACAAGTTACAACGACAAAAAGGAAATCATGTCCTTTAAAAAAGTTGCAAACAGCTATGTGACAAATAAATTACCCTCGGCGAGGACACAATTACATTGGCGGAAGGAAAGTTACGATGAATTGGTCGTTCACCAACAAAGCTCACGAGAATTTAAGAAAACCTAATATCATTACAAGAAGGCAAAGTAACGAAAGTCACGAGACTTCATAAGAAAGTAACGAGCGTCGCGAATGAGTCAACATCAGAACTCCCAAGTAAACAAGGGGATAAGAACACTAAAAATGCCATAACTTTTTTACGGTACTCACTTGAGTGTCATAGCTCTTTTTTTGCTCACTTGAGTGCCATAAATTTGAAAAAAACGAAAACTTAAATGCCACTGGCGATTTGCCTCGCTGGAAAATCCGACGTGGACACCGATCGTCTAACGTGGCTTCGCCAGCGCTAACGTGGATAATTTTTTAATATATTTTGAAATTTTGAATTTGTTTTATTTTTTTTGGAATTTTGTAATTACTTTTTTTAAAATTTTGAATTTTTCTTTTCCTTTTTTATATTTTTTTTTAATGCCGACAAGGGTCGCTGGCAATCCTCGTCGACTGCGAAGCCCTCACGCAGATGGGCGAGGGCCATCGCCATATCTGCGCGGCCGCGGGCAAGGTGTCGCAGCTAGATCTAGCGAGGCCGCTTTGCCCACGGTCGCCCAAATCTGGCGACAGCCTTCGCGGCCTCGTCCACTGCCGACGACGCCGCAATGGCCTTGCCCGGGCCTTCACGGCAGAGGGCAAGGCGGCTCTCACCCATTGGGTGAGGGCTCCGTAGCTGGCGAGGGTCACCATTGACCCTCGCTGGCCTTGAAAAAAAAGAAAATTAAAAAAGTAAAAGAAAAACAAAAACTAAAATCAAAATCAAAAAATAATAATATAACATTTAAAATATCAACGTCAGATGAAAAATTAATTAAAAAAGTCACGCAAGACGATTTGCCGGAAGTGGCACTCAAATGATCTATTTTACTCCAATGTGACACTTGAGTGAGCGAAAAAAAAGTTGTCACTGAAATGAGCGCTATAAAAAAATTATGACACTTCTGCTGTCTTTATCCCCAATCAAGGAAAGTCGCTAGCAATGAAGACTCCTGCTGTCTTTATCCCCAATCAAAGAAAGTCGCTAGCAATGAAGATTACGTAAGCTTATGATCATGGAAATCTTGGCAAAATTGCCCAAAGAGTGATTATCCTATTGCACTTTTACTAATTCAAATATAAATTTTTCAATTGAATACTAAACATTTTCACGTTTTGTCAATTGAGTCCATCTGGCCAATTTTAGCCAGAAATCACTGATGTGGATGTTGGTCTTTTACGTGGCACGGCCGACATTGGCATGTACATTTTTTTATAAATTTTTAAAAAAATTCTGATTTTTTTCTTCTTTTTCTTTTCTTTTCTTTTCTTTTTTTTTTCCTTCCAAGTCGCTCAGGGTTGCTGACCAACCCTCGCCGGTCATAGGCATGGGCCAGCCGATCCTCACCGGCCATTGGGTGAGGGCTTCGCGGCCCTCGCCAAATCTAGGCAAGGGCCGCGACCCTTGCTCTCAACCTGCAAGGGCTTCACGACCGTCACTCAGTGGCCGATGAGGGTCGACCGGCCCTTGCCCAATGGCACGCGAGGGTTGGCTAGCGACCCTCGCTAGACTTGGTGGAAAAAAAAGGATAAGAAAAAAGAAAAGAAAGAAATTCAAAATTATAAAAAAAATCATTTTCTTAAAAACAATTATCCATGTTAGTGATTTCTGATTAAAATCAGCCGGATAGACTCAATTGGCAAAATATGAAAAAAATTTAAGATTCAATTAGCAAAATTTAAATGTTTAGAACTA